CCGGCGATGCCTCAGCTGCGGCTCATTCCCACTGATTGGCTTTTCTTTCTTTCTTTTCGGAAGAGGAATTGGGAGGCGATGCGTGGAGCGGAAGATGGCAAGGGTTGGGGTGCTAAAGGGGCCGGGCACCCGGGACAGAGGTGCTCCACGCGAGGGGGATTGGACGAGGGGCTCTTGGGAGTATTCTTACCCCCGATCTGGTACGATTTAGGTTCGGGGGTGAGGGGGGGGGGGAAACAGTGGGTGAAGAAGAGCGTGTTGGATGGATGAGGGCTTGGTGCTGGTCCGGGGTTTTCCTGCCACCGTACACGTCGGGGAGCCGTCGGTGGCGGCCGGGATCACACACCGGTGGTGGTGGTGTTGGAAATAGGAAGTTGGCTTTGAGGAAAAGTTGCCGTGCGTGGGGTCTGATCTCTTCTCTCGGCCGGTCCTGGGGCTTGAACTCGAGGCCCCGCCGCCGTCCCCGAGTCTTTGTGCTCAAGGCTAGCTAGCGCTCGACCCCCTGGAGCCACAGCGCCGCTTCCGGGAGCTGAGAGTCCTACGGACTTTTCCGGCCCAGGCTGGCTTTGAACCGCGATCCTCAGATCGCAGCCTCCTGAGAAGCCAGGGTGACAGGTGTGAGCCACCGGCCATCCGGCCCACTTTCATTTTATCTTATTCTGTAAATAATTTTCATTGATAATGGTGGGAGGAAAAAATGGGTTGTGTTGTGAAGCCTGTTTTTTTTTTTTCTGTTGTTGTTTGTTTTTTTAGTCGTGGGGCTTGAACTCTGGCCTGGGCGCCGTCCCTGCGCTCTTCAGCTCAAGGCCAGCGCTCTACCACTTGAGCCACAGCGCCACTTCCGGTTCTCTGGTGGCTTATTGGAGATAGGAGTCTCAGAGTCTCACGGACTTTTCCTGCCCGGGCTGGCTTTGAACCGCGATCCCTAGAGCTCAGTCTCCTAAGCAGCTAGGATTACAGGTGTGAGCCACCGGCGCCCGGCGAATAACGAAGTTTCCCTGTGTGCGCGCGTGGCGGTGGCATGTCCCCGAGCCAGGGAGAGCTCCGAACCTCGGCACTCTGTAGTTAGTTGAATGTCACCATTTACTCTGCAGATATTCATTAAACATCTATGATGTGCTGAGACCTGTGGTGGATGCTGCGTTTATGGAGCCAGGCAGACCCCACAATTACCCTTCTTAAGCTAGAGCTTGAGGTTCTCTTTTTATGGAGGTAGACTTTCCTGGTGCCTACTTAAGTTGGTGAAGACGGCCGGGAACTTCCGCGAGTGTCAATTCCTGAGTCTGTCGTTTAAACATTAGAAAGTAACTTTTTAGCGCTATGATGATTGGGTGGCACCTTCTTATTGTCATCTGAATAAAAGCTTCCTTTGGACATTGAAGAGAGGAAGGAGTTTTCTTCTCCCCATATTACATTTTGGTACAATGTATTTACTGAAAGATGATGAACTTTCAGGGGTGTGTTTTTGTAACTATTTGTATTCTTTATTCTTTTTTTTTTGTTGTTGTTGTTGGTTGTGGACTTCAACTCTGGGCCTGGGCACCGTCCCTCAGCTCTTCAGCTCAAGGCGAGCGCTCTACCACTTGAGCCACAGCGCCACTTCTGTTTTTTTTTTGGTAGTTAACTGGAGATAAGAGTTTCACAGAGCTTCCTGCCCGGGCTGGCTTTGAACTGCGATCCTCAGATCTCAGCCTTCTGAGTAGCTAGGCTTACCGGCGTGAGCCACTGGCGCCGGGCTGTTTTCTGTTCTTAACATCTCCAAGGATAGACTGGGTTTCTTTCAAGAAATGCCGCCCTCTGCTTGCCCAAGAATGTCTCAGTGGTAGACACCCTCAGTGCTTACTTAGCATCTCACCTTCCCCCAGTTTTTTTTTTTTTTTTTGTGTGTGTATGTGTGTGTGTAAACATTTTTAGGAGTTACCTTTTTTTTTTGTCCGAGACTGGAGCTGGAACTTGAAATCTGACACTGTTGCTCATTGGTTAGTGCTCTACCAACTGAGCCACACCTCCAACCTAAGGGTTGGTTCTTTTTTGAGGGGTAGAGGGGGAGTTTTACTTTTACTTTGGTCTTTTCCTGTAGTTTCTACAAAGGAAAGAATTACAGTAGGCACTTGATAGTGCTGAAAAGGAGAGGATTATTAGCAGTTTCTGACACTGTATTCGGAATTTTCCTCTGGTATTGCAACTGATAAAACTGCTTATTGAATTTATTCTGAATATAAAGATGCATTGTATACTATTTTCGTTGTTTTGTGTGTGTGTGTGTGTGTGTGTGTGGAGGGGCATTGAACTCATGCTCTGCACTCACAGAGGCATACACCATATGGTCCAGGTGTGCAGGACGCTACACCATCTAGGTTGTTGTAAGTACATGCTGGTGTTCTACAACCATGAACTTGCCTAATGACCCATTTTGCAGAGTAAGGAATAACTGTTTGTTTCAGAAATCCAAATTAATGTTCTCCGAAGTCAGTGTAGTCTTAATCATTACAAAATAATGTAGATTTCTATTTTTTCAGTTATCTATTGAATTTAGTGAGACCTTTTTTGATGAACCAGTGCTTATAATACTTTATACGTTGTTGAAAACAATGTGGACATTTAAATCGTTCTTTGAAATTTTAGGGTTGCTATTAGCTTTTTATAATTTTAGGAATAATGTGGAAAGTATGTGTATATTCTAATTCTGAATTGAGACTTTCTGGCATGCACTTATCTTGGTGGTTATTCATAGGAATAATAAGTAATTCCTCACATTTGATTTATGTAGAGTTGTGATACATTTTTCTTCAGTTGTGGGGCTTGAACTTGAGCTCAAGGACCTTCAGTTGTGGGGCTTGAACTTGGCATGGGCGATGTCCTTGAGCTCTTTTTCTCAAAGCTAATGCTCTACCTGAGCCACAGTGCCACTTCAAGTTTTTGAGTGGTTAAATGGATTAAGAGTCTCCCAGGGCTTTGAACTGCCATCCTCATATCTCAACCTCTTGAGTAGTTAGGATTACAGGTGTGAGCCACACTACTGTCCAGCCTGTTACTCGGCCTGGGTGCTGTCCCTGAGCTCTTCAGCTCAAGGCTAGTGCTCTGCTATTTGAGCCACAACACCACTTCTGGCTTTTTCTGTTTATATGATACTAAGGAATCGAATCCAGGGTCTCATGTGTGCG